GATGTGAGCAGCCTGAGAAGCTGGCCTGAGTTTGAGTGACTGACTAGCTGCCCTCTCTGAGTGCTGGTCTTTGTTCACATGGTGTCTGCAAAGCCTGGTGCCCAGAGAATGTCACTTCCCTTTCTCCTGTCTCAGCAGTTTTACAAGACATTACATCTTCAAGGGTGTGAATTAGAATTGAAGGTAGGAACTGACAGATTTAGTTTGTTTAACCATCCAGAGATTGTTATCAGACAGCCCACTTAGAATAACTAATAACCTAGGCTTAAAATTAACTCTGGTGGCCTAGTGGCAAGAAGCTGCGCCGCAACCCTGAAGGCACACAGTTCGAGGCAACCAGCAGATCTGCGGGAGAAGGATGGGCAATCTCCTCCTTTGCCATTAACTGCCTCTGAAAAACCCACCAGAGGGTCAGCTATGGGTCAGTTCTGACTCTACAGTACACAACAACAACAAGAAGAAGCTTAAAACAGCTGCATTGCTGATAAAGCCCTGAAGCCAGGAAGGGGTAGTTTAGAAGCATTCATGGAACTGAGAATTACAGGAAGGAAGGGGGGGGAAACCCCACAAGGTGACTACACTGTGAGTATTGTAACCAGTGTTACAAAACAAAACGTGCATGAATGGGTGATTGAAAAGCCAATATGCCTTGTACAAACTTTGACTCAAATCATAATAGAAAAGAAATTGTTCTTGGATGCTGTATTGGTTGGCACCTACTGACTGTAAGTAAATTATATATTTGTAACCCTGGGGATTATCCATGTATTTTAAGGTATATACAATGGTTCATGTTCACAAATGGGCACAACTGTGTGATACACGTCAAAACATTATTATTCTGTAAAAGGATTTGTAGTATATCTGGGAGTGTTTAAGGGTTTTTATGCTCAGAAAGGAACCCTTCATATATTTATAAGATGAACATTTGATAAGCATAGCTGGTTGGTCTTACTTACATACACACTAGGCTAAAAAGATTTAAGAATGGACCTTGTCTATGACCTAAGAGCTGCTTGTATATGATTGTGAATTCAGCTTGGATTAGTTTCATCTTTACATCCAAGTTGGTCGCACTATCCATAGAGGGCTGTGCTGTTATCCTAAAGACCATGCCTTTCTGGTGGTTTGAATCCACCAGTGGCTTCAAGGGAGAAAGATGGGCAATTTCCTTCCATGAGATTTTTTAAGGTAGAAAATGCAAAGGAGAGTCCACTGTGACTCAGTTCTGACTCAACGGGAATCAGTGAAGGCATGATTTTACCATAAACTACCAAAAGAGTGGTTATTGCTCTGACCATGGACTGAATTAGGTGCACCTTAGTGTTCAAACTGACATCATTGCTCCTTAGTAATTTGGAGAAATCCCTGACAGTGCACTTGCCCTGTGCAATGCACCTCCTGATCTCCTGATTTCTGGTGTTGATTGTGGATCCAAAGAAGCTGGAATTGTTGACAAACAGGGTTTAGGAGAATGAAAAGGTTAAGCCATTCAAAATCCCTTGCAACAGTACCTGAATACAGTTATTCCACCAAAAGAACAATTATTGGTTTCTCCTCCTAAGGAGCAAAGAAATGAGAAGACAATCATAGAAACCCAGTAGCAATTAGCCCAAAGGACTAATCAACTGTGTAATCCTGTTTCTGTGACTGAGACCAGAGGAACTTGATGGTGCCTGGCTACTACTAAAGGGATTCAATAGAAGAGCCTTGATAGAATGGGGGGGGGGGGGAATGCAGGACAAACTTTTAAACAAACAAAACACAGGCTTACTTATGTGCTAGAGATTGGTGGAGAAGCCCCCTAGACTGTGGCCCTTAGAAACTCTTCAAGCCTGGAACGGAACTTGACAACAGTCAGCCAAGGTATAGATTGATTTATAAGAGGAACAGTAAACACAAGGAGGCTAAATAAGTACTTCTTAGAAAATCAACCACATGAGATCAAAGGGTAGCATTTTTCCAAAGACAGAATTCAGAAGCCAGGAAAGAATAGAAGAAGGGAGGAACGCTATTGTTGGTGTATTGTCCAATTGGAATCAACTCATAGCTGACCCTCCAGTGAGTTTTTTCTTTCTAGTGAGGTTTTTATTTTTTCTATTCCCATTATTTATTTAGAAACAGTGATTTATACAATGGAAACAAAAATCATCAAGGCCAAACTGATTCTCAGAAGCATAGTTAGTCATCCTGCCCCAACTTTGCTTGTCCAAATACCTTTAATGCTGCAAACCATCATGTACTCAAAGTGGGGATGGGTGGGAAATTCAATAAATCTTCTATTATTTTCATGTTCTTTTTAATATTATTGTATTTCAGTCTGGTTTCTTTGTTAACAGTAATAAGTCCAACACTGGAGAGTACGAATTGTTTTATCGTCATCAACATGGTACTTAAGTAAATCAAATCTTGTCAAGTACACGGTGACTTGGGTTTTGGTTCTGCGTCTGTCATTTGGCGAATGAAGATCCCATCTTCGGGATGCTCTGTGTCATCCATACATGTGTGACGATGCCAATGTCGTGCCATCGTCACTAAAGGCAAGGGACGCGATGGAACTGGCACAGCCACTTTTTGTTAAATGGATCCCAAATATTTACAAATCCATCAGAACCACGTGTGGCAAATGTATTAAGGATTTTGTAGAAGGAAATGGCGTTGACTGGGTAAATCTGCTCAATATTCTCTTTCAGTTGGTGACACTTGAAGGCATACTTCTTCTGCACCTCAGGGCTCGGGTCCAAGTACTCAACAGCCATTCAGCCTTCAATGGAGCTTAGAACATAACCCTGCTTGTTGCGGAAGACACATATGCAGTGAGTCTGGCACTTGAGCCGGGCCTCCCGGTGCTGCTCCATGTAGCCCACGTTCTGAAGGTCCCACACCAGCGCGTGGCGGCCAGCTGTCCCCACAATCAGCCTGTCTCCAGACATTGGAAGTGTATACACCTTTCCAGGCTGAAAGAAGGTGCCAGCATTACAAGGAGTTCTGGGATCCCACAATGTAACCATCTGATCCCAACTTCCGGGAATCATCACACTGACTTCCGGACAGTAGTCAACACATTCGATAACGGCATCATGTGTTCCAACGAGATTGTTTTGATCAGTATTCAAATCATACACTTTCAGCTGGTCATCAAAGCTCCCACTCCAGGCCTGAGTTGGATCGTAGAAGGTACAGTCCAAGACGGCGCCGGTGTGCTGGTACTGGAGCTGCATGGAGTTGGCCAGCACATTGTAGAGGATACCAGCAGGAACTGGGAGGTGTTGGGGCTGAACTTCACCGAGGAGATGTCGTCCTCCAGTGGCTGGTTCAGCTTGAACTGGTTCGAGCCCGTCACCTTGAGATCCTCTAAGAAGCAACGGCGCCAGAGAAAGGAGCTTCAGTGGGTTTTTAAGTAGTAAATAGATGGCCAGGGAGATTTCCCATTGTTCTTCTGTGGAGACAAGCAATCTCCTCCCATGCAGTTTATAGCCCCTGAAAACTCACTGAATGGTCAGTTGCGAGTGGATTCCAGCTGAAACAGGAACAAATCATCACCACACCTGGCAAGGAGCTCTGATGGTGTAGTCCTTATGTTGAGTTGTTCACCACCATGAGACAACAATGAGGAAGTTCCTCTCATGTGATACCCAGACTCTCAAAAAAACCTGCTAGAGGGTCAGCTATGAATAATTTCTGACTCGATGGCAATCTTTTTAGCCTTGAAAATCTTATGTGGCCCAACAGCTATGTCCTGTCGGGTTGGAATTTACTCCTGACAGTGGGTTTGGTTTCACACTATTTCTTGACACACCAAATGGAACCCAAAGTCACAGAATTAAGGACAGAAATGTGAACTAAGGCTTTCAGGTACTGTTTCAAGGGTCTTTCAGGGGATTAATATTTTCATTCTCCTAAATCCTACTTGTCAACAATTCAGTTTCCTTGGATCCACAATCAACACCATTGGTACCGGAAGACAGGAGATCAGGAAGTGCATTGCATAAGGCAGGTGCACTGTCAGGGACCTCTCCAAATTACTGAGGAGCAATGATGTCAGTTTGAACACTAAGGTGCACCTGATTCAGTCCATGGTCTTTTCAATCGCTTGCTATGCCTCTAAAGAGCTCAACAATGAATAAGGATGACAGAACAAGAATCGATGCCTGAGTTGTGTGGTTTTGGAGAAAGACACATTTTGCAGAATAATCCATGGACTGCCAAATAAAAACCCAAACAGATATATTTTGTAAAAAGTACAGAGTGCTCCTTAGAGGCAAGAATCATAAAACTTCATCCCACATGCTTTGGGCATATTGCTAGGAGAGGTTATTCCTTGGAAAGGGACATCATGCTCAAAAAACTGGAGAGTCGGTAAAAGAAAGGCCAACTGTCAACAACTGTCAATGAGGTGGATTGACATGGTGACTGCAGCAAGGGGCTCAAGCATGTCAGAGATGGTGAGGATGGCACAGAACAAAGACAGGGTTCAGATCTCTGAACAACAAATCCCACTGGCTAGATAATAGTCCTAATACCACAATGCATGCTCGCGGGAATGAAAACCTCAGTGGAAATGTCAGGGAACGAAAAAGCACAAAAAAGGGATGCCTCTGGCCTCAATTGCTTCAGCTGCAAGCAGAGCATCAGGCTGGGACTGGGTCCACGACCGTGCGCGGCCCGCCTGCGCCCCCTGCAGGCACGAGGTGGCGTTGTCCTGTCGCGTCCTGCAGCAGCGTCCCCACTTTCTGTCGGCAGAGGGAGTGTGAACACGCTCAAGACAAGCGAAGTGCAGGCTGCAGGCCCGGACCAGAGCGGGACCCCGCCGGGCTCCAGCCTGGGTCCCTGGGTGGTCTAAGGGCGGAGGGAGTTGGGGGCGTGGCACGGGGCGTGGCCTCAACGGGGGCAGGGCCAGCCAAGCAAGGGCCAGACGTGGCGCAGCGACAGATCCACCGACCGCGCGGTTCTCCTCCATCCTGCGGATCGAACCCGGCCGGGATCCGGTCTCCGGCCCCATGCGTCGCCTGCAGCCTCTGCTGCCGCCTCTGCTGTTGCTGCTTCTCGCGGCGCTTTCAGCCTCCGCCACCAGCACATTCCAGCCCGACTGGAACCGTCTGCGCGGCCTGGCTCGGGCCCGGGTAGAGGTGAGCGCTCCGAGCCCATCGCTCCCCAGCCCTGCGGCCTCTTAGTCCTGGAACCAATTCCCACCCTTCCCCCGCGACCCCACGACCATTCCGATCACCCAGTCCCCCCCACCACCTGGATCTTCCTAGCCCAGAGAAGCCCAAGTACCCACTCCGTCTTGCAGCCTGGCCCCCGGATCCCCTTTCCAGCAGGCTGTCCAGTTAGACAGCCAGTCTCCCTTCCCCAGGGACCCCACGAACACTCAGCCCGCCGTGTCTTCCCACCACCTGAACCTTCCTAGCCCTGAGACGCCCTAGCATCCACTCCACCTTGCAGCCTGGCCCATGGGACCCCTTTCCAGCCGCCTGTCCAGCTGAACAGCCAGTCTCCCTACTACTTGTAGTGATTCCCCCAAACCTGCCCTCTGAAGCCCAACTTCCCACACTCCCAATTCCACTTTTCCCTGAAATTCCTTCCCCACTTTGGTCCCACGATTTGGGGCTCTTGAGGGTCTTTCCTTTTCTGGTCAGCAGGGAAGACAATTCTCTGGGCTCCACCCTGCTCCATGCAGAGGCCCAAAGGGGCCTGGGAAGCTCAGAGCTAGCACTTAATCCGCGGCCACTTCCGTCTTCCCCCAGCCCGAGTCTGTATGACTAGAACCCTCACAAGCCCTTCTCTAGGCCATAGTTTTATGTCTGTCGAAAAAGGAGGTGAAGGAGGGGCCGGGTGTGTGGGTCCGAGTCTCGTTCTCTATTGGGAGGTGGCTCTCTACGAGAAGGGCCTTTCCCATCCTCCACGTCGGAGGAGGAACCAGATGGTCATTTGGGCTGACCGCGGGGCGGGGGGCAGAAGGGCCAGTCCTGAGTAGGCCGGATGGGGACCAGATGGAGGCTCCCAGGGCGGTTCTGAGCTCTCCCTTCTGGTCTGCCTCCACCCTGGGCCAAAGGCCAGACTCAGATCTCTACTGCTCGAGGGGCACTGGGTGATTATTTCTTCTGGGTGAGAAGACTGGGTGAGTCAGTAGTCGGCAGGGAATGGGAGGCAGAGCGAGAGGCTGCCAGGTCTCAGGCCTGGGCCTCCTCTCCTTTTCCATTTGATGAACGTAACCCCATGAATCCCCAAGAGGTCGCCACTTCTTCACAGCCTGAGGATGGTTATTCCCAAAGTGGAATGAAGGTGAAGTGACCTGGGGGTAGGTGGGGGGATGATTGGAGTAGAAGTGGGAGATACCTGATCAATTCCATTTTGTCCGCTTCCAGACCTGTGGGGGATGACAGCTGAACCGCCTGAAGGAGGTGAGTTTGAAGGAAGATAGGCTTTGGTGGCCTAGTGGGTAAGGAATTGCACTGCCAAACCAAAGTTCAAATTCACCAGTTACTGTTTGGGAGAAAAAGGGTCAATCTCCTCTTGTACAATTTACAACTTGTGAAAACCTGCCAGAGGATCAGCTATGAGTTTATTCTAGTTCCCCCGCCATCCCAGCTTCTTATCAAGTGGACTTTTGGGTTGCAAGCCAAGAGCTCATTTTTGGTGTGGCTGTGTGATCGCAATGGGCTTCAGTTTCCCAACTCCCATCTGTAGAGGGGAAAGGGATTTGGAGGCCCTTATACTCTAATGATCCCTTTCCTCCCCAGGTGAAGGCCTTCGTCACCCAGGATATCCCTTTATAGTATCCTTCCTCTTTTGCCCAAGGGTAGGGATAATGGGGAGGGAGTCTGGGAAAATATCGTCCTGCTTAATATCAGAGGTGTGGACTGCAGATGGTGACATCTGACAAGCAGAATCGATTGGTAATGACTGCCCAGGGGAATCCCAGGTGGCTTCTAAATTGGGTTGTTGTTGTTGTTATTATTATTATTATGTGCAGTTGAGAAGTGACTCATAGTGACCCTGCAACCTGCTTTATCCTGTGCCAACCTTATTGTCTCTGACACACATACTTTCATTACCTCCGTCATTGAATCAATCCATTTCATCAAAGGTCTTCCTCTCTTGGCTGTCCCTCCACCCTTCCAAGCATGATGTCCCTCTCCAAGGACTGCAACTTGCCCTCCTTGCAACATGCCCAAAGTATATCAGACGAAGCCTCAGAATCCTTGCCTCCAAAGAGCAGCCTGGTTTCACACTCTCTAGGTCGAGCCTGTTTGTTCTCCTAGCAGTCCATAGTTTATTCAACACTCTTCTCCAGCACTACAGCTCAAAAGCATCAATTCTCTTTCTTTCATTGGGTAGGAAGATTGATTAGTGATGTCTGCCATAGTCACTGGAATGCAGAGGGACCTTTACTAAATTTCCTCCTCTGTAAACGGAGATCCTTGCTTTACGCAGTTGCACAGTAGGCGCTCAGTAAAAGTGGCTGCAATGCTTACGTGTAAGCCCCAGGGGCTCTCATCTGCCACTGTCCACCATCACCTTAACCCCACCTCCAGTCACAACCTGGTGATGAAACACCTCCCGGGAGCCGACCCAGAACTCGTGCTGCTGGACCAACGCTACAAGGAACTGGAGGTGAGGCTCCCCGACACGCTCCTGACCACGCCCCTCCTAGCATAACTCCACCCCTTATGGTCCCGACCCCGCCCATCCCGGCCCCACCGCCGCTCGCCCTGTCCCTCCTGACCCACCTCATATGACTCCGCCCCTCCGTAGCGCATCCCTCTGAGCGAAATGACCCGTGAAGAGATCAACGCGCTGGTGCAGGAGCTCGGCTTCTACCGCAAGGCGGCGCCCGACGCGCCCGTGCCCCCCGAATACATGCAGGCGCCCGCCAGACCAGCGGAGGGCGCTGCAGACCCGGACCACGCCGACCTCTAGGTCCCCAGGCGCGGCGAAAGCCGAGCTAGCCTGCCCGAGCCCAGGGACAGAATGAAGCGCTCAGTGTCCCGGGAGCATCTTCCTCGCTGAGGGCTGACACCCCGTCCCTGGGCCGGTGGGAGTAGAGGGGATCGAGGAGGGGTCTCTGTTTCTTCACTTCCACTAAAGCCTCTTCCGTCTACATTACAGCTGGACTCCGTCTCTGTGGGCTGGAGGGACAAGGACCTTCCCATACTCCAGGGATACCGAACACGGGGAGGGCAGGGGCAACTGGAGAGGGTACTTTGACACACTTTTGTCGAGACGTCCCACTTTTCAACGCTTCCTCCCACCCCCATAAGAGAAGTAGAAGGACTCAGTGTTGTTGTAAACCAATAATTTATCAAAACGCTGCGTGAGTTTGGCGGGGAGGAGTGTTGCGACAGATGGGGGCAGCAGTGGGCAGGCGCAGGGCGGGAGCTGTGCCCGGAGGGTGCGGGCGTCGAGGGGCGGCCCCGCAGGAGGCTTAGACATTCTTGCCGCGCAGGCGCAGCTCGTGGCGCCGCAGGTGGTTGTACAGCGACTGCACGTAGGTGAAGACGCACTTGGGGTCGGGTTTTTTGCCCATGATCATCATGTCCTCCACCTCCACCAGGGGCACGCAGTCCACCAGCATCCTGCAGGGAGAGGGGACGAGGAGGGCGTGGTTAGAGCCCGCCAGGTCTCCTGGTAGAGCTCTTCCCTGAGCTCCTTTCACTCTTGTTGGCTTCTGGTCCTCCATCGATGGAATAAAGCCTTCCCAAAATGCCACAGACCCCACGCATCCAAGCCTGGAAGCACCCCTGGAGGTGGTGACGCCAGGCTGGTGGAAGCAGGAATTACGGAGAGAAAAGACATGTGACTCATCCATGAAGGTCTTGGATCCCCCAAGCCTCAAGGGGAGGTTCAGGCTCCCCCTCCCCATCTCTCTCCAGCTGTCCCCCTACACACTCCAGCCTGCACAAGCCTCGCGTTTAAAACCATTGTACCCAGGAGAGGCTTGCCATTGGCAACTTTCTCCCGGATCAGGACCTTGGGATCCTGAAGATTCTCACCGTGTGGAGAAGGCTGGAAACCTCTATTCCCACCCTTGGGGTTTCTCTACGTTTGCATGTGTGTGTGAGTTGTTAGGTGGCATTGAGTCACCTCTTAACTTACAACCATCCTATGCACAACGGAATGAAACCCTGCCCGATCATGCACCATCACCAGGGGCAGAAAAAAAAAAACAAACCACCAACAAACAAAAACCAACCAAACAAAAAAAAAAACAACCACCAGGGGAGGCAGTTGAGGGTCTCAATCAATTCAGTCTCTAAAATGATAGCCGCACCTTGCAGATGGAGAAACAGTCACAGAGTGGAGAGGCAGAGTTGAGCCCGATGAAACCTGGTCTTACCTACTGCAAGATACTGTGTAGTCTAGAAGGAGTGGGTTGTGGCTGCTAAGCAACTGAGAGCCCCACAGCTCTGAGGCTCCCAGGCTTCAGCCACCCCTCCTCTCTGAATGTAAGACCTCATCTGCCTTCTGCCTCACCCCTGCAAGCACCTGCTGTGCCTGGCACATAGTAAGCGCCTAGTCAGTGTTGAATGATAGCAGCTCTGAGTCCAGGACCACCTCTCATCTATTCTTTCCTGGTTGAGCCTGTTCCTTAGGCTAGGGCTCACTCTCAGTTCATCTGGGCTCCTCCTGAGAGTAAGTTCAGGTGGCAGGAGATCTCAGAATCTCCGCTCTAATGCAGACTTTCTTTCTCTGACACCTGTGAATGCTAGGTCCTGATTAGTGACTCAATTCCCTCATCTTCAGAGCAGTAGAGTTCCCTGGAAGCTGTCAGGACTGAGTGAGGGGTTCTTGGCTCTGCTGTGGATGTGCTGGGTGCCCTTGGTGGTTACGCCAGACTGGGCTGGCTTACCAGCTGGACCATGGCTAAGTTGCAGCTTCTCTCCCAAGCTCCCAGCAGCTGTGGCTATCTCCCATGGGGAATCCGGCTCCTCTCCCCCACCCTGGTGCCTTCCCTGGAGACCTTATAAAGCCATTGTTTACACTGGGGCTCTCATGGCTCAGGGATCAGGCTGCCCCAGCTAGCAAAAGCACAGCTGAGTCACACTTTCCAACTGGATCAGGGCCTGGCAGCCCCCCCCCCCCCCCCAACCATCCCACTGGGCAGCAGCTCCCAAGCCCATATAAGACCTGGACACAGCACCAACCCATCCTCCCCTCACCTGCACTCCTTCGCTGAGTAAGTGTGTGCACATGTGGGCTAACCTCCCAATGGCTCCAGGTCCCGAGGGCCATATGAGTGCACCCCTTTCTCCCTGACTCACAGTTGCTTTTTTTTTTAAATGCAATAATAGAGGTGAGGAACAGAGCCACTTTTGTGACTCAACTCTCTTCCCTAAAATCTGCGAGATACCTGAGCTCCCCACCCTCACCCCTCTCTGAACTTATCTGAAATGGAGCAGTTATCTCAGGATCCAATTCGCTACTGTGGTCCCAGAGTCAGGGGAACCAGAGGGATACTCCAAACAGCTTGATTTGGGGACCCAAGAACCCTCAGCCAGAAATCTTTGGTCAACCAGTCCTGCTTCTGAACTCCTCTGGGAGGATGACGCCTTTTAAGTTGCTCTAGTCATTCCATCGATCCTCTCTGCCATCCCGTCTTCAGGTTTCATCCTAGGAATGTTCTAGAAGGCCAGGCTGATGACAACCTTTCTGTTTGGAAACCACTTCTGCTCCTTGTCATCCTCCTGAGGAAGTCCAGATGCTTGTCGGTGGCCCATTCTCTTCTCTCACCCATAAATGATTCTTTTGTTCCTGGGCATGTTCTCAGGTGCTCTTCCGACCCTTTAGCCTAAAGCTATTCAGATCCTACGTTGCTGTTAGGTGTCATCAAGTCAGCTCCAATTCACAGCAATCCTATGTAGAACAGATCAAAACCCCGCCTGCGCCTGTGCCATCCTCACAGTCAATCTCTGCTGTGCTTACACCCACTGTCACAGACACTGTGTCAGTCTAGCTCGTGGAGGGTCTTCCTCTCCTTTGCTGACCCTTTATTGTTCCAAGCATGATGTATTTCCTACATACTGGCTCGTCTGGATAACATGCCCAAATTATGTGAGGTGAACTCTCACCCTTCATCTCCGCTCTCTCATTGCTACTGAATCAAAATCGACTCATTGCCGACTCTCCCCTGGGTTTCTGAGACCATAGATTGCGCGGAAGGAGAATATGTACTTTCTCCTTTGGAGCCACTGGTGGATTTGAACTACCAAAGAGGCACGGCCTTTGGATTAGCGATGAGACTTCTTATAAATTAGACCAAGGGAGCTCTAGTGGCAAGCAGTTGCACTGCAATCCCAAATGTACATGGCTGGAATCCACCAGTTGCTTTGCTGGAGAAGGAGGGGCAATATCCTCCTGTACCAGTCAGATCCGATTTGACGGTGCACACACACACACACAAATAAATTTAAAAAGGAAAAAAAAATTAGACCACCAGAGCTCATTCTCAGACATCCGACCTGATCCACAGGCCGAGGCAGGCACCTCCTGGGCTTCTGCAACCCAAAACTCATCCCTGACTCCAAGGTCAGTACCTTACCTGCCACTGAGCTACCAGAGGACAAGGCTCCCCAGCTCCCCTCTCCCACCTCTGGGGCCCCTCTCTCTCTGAAACCCCTTGAGCAGATTCTGGAGTAAACTGGGCAAGGGAGGGGGAGGCGGAGCGAGGCAACGTTTCTCACCGTGGAGCCCCAAACAGGGGTTAGGACTTTTTGGTTTTTACCAGCCCCTTCTGGACCAGGCAGCGGTAGAACTCCTGGATGTACGTGTACACGCACTTCCAGTCAGGCTCTCGAAGCCGCACCATGTCCTCTGTGTCCAGGAGCTGCGGGCAGTCTGCATGGGTCCTGGGGAGGGGAGGGGCCGGGGAGGGGCAGGGACAGGGCCCCGGAGGGAGGACAGGGAGGAGGAAGAGAAGAGAAAGGGGAGGAGGATACGAGACATACACACACACACACACATATACACAGAGATAAGGATTCAGTTACATTCTCAGTGCTGCAGTTGGCCAGTCCCCGCATGCCCCCTCCCCGCCGTGGTTGTGCCCCTCACTACCCATCACTAACGGTGAGCGATGCAGACAGGGGTGGGGGCCAGACCAGTCACAGGTGCAGAGCACTCTTGGGGCAAAGCAGGAATGGAGGATGGGGTGGGACGTTGACAAGGGCGCCGGGGTGGATGAGGAGGGCAGTGCCCCTGGGAGGGGGGTGAGGGAGGCGTGAGAGGAGGTGGAGGGAAGAGAAAGAGGAAGATATTGGGGTTGGGGGGGTAGAAACAGAATGAAAAGACAGACGGATGGAGGAGGGTGCAGGGGGTGAGGTGAGCAGATGGGGCACAGATTCCAAAGTGGAGGGCTTGCGGATGTCCTATATAAGTAACACCTATATAGGCTGGGCGGGCACGGTGCCCGGGGCCAGGAGCCTCCTTTTGGAATCTCCAGCCGGGACCCCGTGGGAGCAGGAAGCTCTGGTGACAGTTGGAGGAGAGTAGGACAGAAAGAGAGAGAGGGAGAGGGGGCAGAGGAAAGGGGGAGGGATTGGACAGGGCCACCTGGTAGGCCTTGGCCCGGGCTGGGAGGCAGGCCTGAGGCTCCTTGGTTCCGGCGGGCATCTGGCACCCTCAGCAGCGGGCAGGCAGGACAGAGGAGAATGGGGGCTCGCTGGGGAAGGGGGGTCTTGGTTGCTGTCTGAATGTGTGGCTGGCTGGCTCCAGGGGGACTCTGGGGCGGCTGGCCTGGCCCAGACGCCCAGTTGACACCAGAGGGCTGGGGCCCACACTTACTCGGCGGATGAGAAGGCCACCTCGAAGTTCTGGCGCCTGTTCTGGGGGCTGAGCTGCCCATAGTCAAAGGCCTCGGGGAAGAAGTTGTGCACGAGGGCACAGAAGGCCATCCCGTCGCTCCAGCTTGAGGAGAAGTTCTGGATGTCCACGTGCTGGGGTGAGGAGGGTGAGAGAGCTGGTCAGGGCCCTCTGCTCCCTTGGCCACACGGATGTAGGACAACTGGGCTGAGAAAGGCTCGTGGCTTGCCCAAAGCTTCTCAATGGGTGAATACCCAAAATACGTGCCTCCTGCCAACTCCCAGGTCCTCTACTGCTTGAGGACAGAACCACCAAGAGGCCAGCACTACTCAACTCAGGCTATGGCCATGTCCGCTACCTCTTTGTCACCTCACGCAAAGGAACTTAAACCCAGCTCTCCTATAAAGCACATATGGAGGGAAACCCAAGGCTGGACTCTGGCCCTCAGCTGTGCCCACCAGGCAACGCTGGAACTATCACTTAGCCTCTTATTCTGGGAATGCCTTTCCGAGCCTGTTTCCTCATTCCAGAAAGAGGACTTCTCATCCTCCCTAGTACCCGAGAAAAGTGAGGGTACACTGAGAAGGAGGAAGGTATCATCGAGGGGGCACGACTACTGGGGGTGCTCACCTCATAACCACGCGTCTTGGCTCGGCACCAGTCTAGTAACATCTGCTTGATGCTGTTGGCGTTGGGGACCCCGAAGCTGGTGGAACGCTGCACAGCTACGCGGGGTCCTCCAGGGCTGCTGCAGGGGCGGTTCCAAGGATGTCAGGCCCCGCCCACCACTGACCTTAGCCACACCCCAGTGATCAGTGGCCCCGCCCCCACAGCCCTTAGCCACACCCCAGTGATCAGTGTCCCCGCCCTCCACAGCCCTTAGCCACACCCCAGTGATCGGTGTCCCCGCCCTCCGCAGCCCTTAGCCACACCCCAGTGATCAGTGCCCCCGCCCTCCACATCCCTTAGCCACACCCCAGTGATCAGTGGCCCCGCCCTCCACACCCCTTAGCCACACCCCAGTGATCGGTGGCCCCGCCCCCCACAGCCCTTAGCCACACCCCAGTGATCAGTGGCCCCGACCCATCATCCGGCCCCGCCCCAGGGGACATTCCTCACCCCGCGGCACCCTCTTTCTCCAGCTTCTCGATCATGGCCTTGCGCGCCTGTGAGGCCGACGTTTTGGGCAGACTCTGCGCTTTCATCAGCTCTTTTTTCTTCTCGGCCTGGCGTTTTTCAAGTGCTGCCAGGCTGCCAGGCCGCGGACTGGCCTCGTCCTCGCGGTCAAAGATGCTGGAGAGGAAAGGACGACTGAGACTTAGGCGGATAGTGGAAAGTTGCTCCAAAGTGCCAACCCTCATGTGGGGTCCTGGCTGGCGCCAAGTCCCTTAACCCCGAGGCATCTCCGAGAGCAGCAACTCTGGGAATGTCCTTGGAGAAGGACATCATGCTTGGAAAGGTTGCGAGTCAGTGCAGGAGAGGAAGACCCCGGATGAAATGGATTCATACAGTAACTAGGGAAACAGAGGTTGGTGTGTTGGAGTCAGTGGGACTGGCTCAGGACAGGGCATGCTTCAGAGCTGCTGTACATGTCGGGTTGCTGTGAGTCTCAGGCAACTCGATGGCACATAACAACAAACAACAGCACCCATTTTACGGAGGGTTACACTGAGGCTTAGATGACAGATGGTTACTTGCTATTATTGCTCCTACCCAGAGTTGAATTAAGTCTCACATTACAGAGTAACCAGGGTTGGTCTGACTCCCCTCCCAGTACTTCAGTCTACCCCTCTGTGGAATGGGTTGCACAATGAGACTCTCTGTAACATAGACTGCTCTGAGACTGGGGGAGCAGATGCTTATGCTCACCTGCCCATCTTCTTAGAGGAAGAGGAGGAAGAGGAGAAGGTCTTGGTTTGCACCATGGTGCTGCCACTGCCATCTGCAGAGAGAGGGAGAGGGAAGCTGGGTCAGGGCCCAGCCTGGACATCAGGAGACAGGGTGGGGGCGACTCTATGTGTATGGGGGGTGGAGAAAACAAAGTGATGGCTGAAGAGTCAGACAGGCAGAGAAGAGAGCGATGATGGCTGAAGAGAGCTGGTAGACTCAGAGCTTAGAGAGAGCTTCAGAGGTCGGAGGAGGCGGGCGGGCGGGCAGGCCCTGGGTGGCGCCAGGTGGCCTTACTCTCTGAGCGCCTCATGAAACTCGACTCCACGGTGGTGGTGCGAGCCATCCGGGTGCCGTCATCTGGAGAGGAGAGGGGAGATTGAGGGTGTGAGAGGCACAGGGACTAGCCTGGTGGATGTACTCCCGCCCTGAGCCCCAAGCCCTGAGCCTCTGTACCCCACTTGGGCTCTTACTGGAGTGGACAAGGCGCTCCGTCTTGGTGACTGTGCTGACAGCTGAGCCATCGGCTGCTCTCTGGCTATGCCGTGTGGTGGTCTCTGTGGCTCTGTTACCACGAACCTCCCCAGGCCGGGCCCGTGCCTCCTGGAGCCGCCGTTCCCGTTCCTTGTCCCGCTGGTCTGGGCAGGGGTGTCCCATGCATGTCCAGAAGAACCACCCGATGCCATGTGACACACGCACACGCACACACACACACACACACACACACAAACGTACACACACAGAGGCACACGGGGTACACAAATAGGGTGAAGGGCAGCTTGTAAGAAACACTGTGTACATAGGGATACTGGCCCCTCTCGATTCTGCAGGGGTGAGGGGTCAGTCACAACTGGGGCAGGGACAGGGGACTGGGTGGGCAGTGTTGATGGGCTTAAGTGAAAACAAGGGAATGGCTGAACTCAGAGGAGCAGCATTTGGATTCAAAACTGGAGTAGCTGAGTCAGGAGAGAGGATCTAGGAGGGAGAAGCTGAGCGCAGAGGAGAAGCTGGGTGAGAACAGGAGCTGTTTAGGCCATCAAATGCGCCCTAGGTAGAGAAGTGGGGCTAAAGGAAGAAATAGTTGGAGCCAGAGAGGGAGGGAATCATTGAAGTTGCCTGAGAAGCAGCAATTACAGCCAGGGTGAAAAGAGCTGGGAGCAAAGCTGGGGAAAGGGCCTGAAGAAAATGCAGCGTGAAGAGGCTGGTGGGGTACTCATCATTAGGCTCTAGAGGAAGTGGCTCGATTCAGAGAACCGGACACAGAGAGTTCAAAACTGAGAGAGTACCTGGAGAAAGAAATCTAGACTCTGAAGGATAGACTATCTGGGTCTGGAGAGGAAGTAGTCATGTCTACAGGAGAAACAGCTAGGTGAGGACAGAGGTTCAGGTAGCCATTTCTAGGTCTTTAGGTATCTGGACTCAGGAAAGAAGTAGCTGAGAGTACTTGGAGAAGCCACTGGATCCAAAGAGAAAGAGCCTGGAGGAGGGAGTGGCTGAGGAGGGAGTAGCTGGAGGAGGGAGTAGATAGAGGAAGGAGTACCTGGAGGAGGGAGTAACGAGGCCTAGGAAGGAGAAGAGAAGTTGATTGTGGGCTGGGATGTGTGTGCGGGTATCAGTGGATCCAGAAGAAGAGAAACTCCTAAGCAAGGGAGCAGCTGGATCTAGGGAGGAAGAAGTATGCACAGGGACTATCTGGGTCCATAAAAAATGTAGCCAGGCAGGATACTAACAGATTCTAAAGGAGAAACTAGGTAGACAGTTGTTGAGCAGGACTCGCCAGGAATGGACCCCGGGGGAGGTGAACAGAGCAACTGGATGTGGGCTGGGGCAGCTGCTGACCTACCTCTCTTCCTCTGTCGGAGCTCGCGCAGTGCAGCCCGGATGAGCCTCCGCTCCTCAAAGTCTGTGGTCTGGTCCAGCTGCAGACAGAGCTCTTGTCACAGCTCTCCTGGTGTGACCTGCTGGTCCCTGCCCCCTGCCAATCCTCAGCCCACTGGGTCCGGCCATACCATTTTATCCAGAACACTTTCATCCTCAATGGCCATCAGTTCCTCAGCATTCAGTGGGCTTCGCTGTTCTGGAGTTTTGTCAACCCGGGCTTGCTCAGCGCCATTGGTGGCTTCCACTGCTGCAGACGGGGGCTCTGCTAGCTCTGGCTCCATCTGTAGAGAGAGTGGGGAAGACATAGGCTTGGAGCAAAGGTGTGTGTGCATCTAACTACATTCTCACTGGACAGGGGATCAGGCCCTGGCACAGCCTTGGAAATGACTACTCACTGGCCACATGTTGGTGTCAGGCTCAGAGAAGAAGTTTTGACATTGTCATTCACAAAACCATATTAATACAATTATTAGCAGCAACAATGATGATTACCATTTGGTAAGGAGCTCTGGTGGTAAAATAGTTAAGGGCTTGGCTCCTAACTAAAAGGTCAGCAGTTCAAACTCATCAATATAGTAGATATCTTTTGTAAAGATTATAGCCTTGGCACTCCTGTTCTACCCTTGGCCTACAGAGTCGGAATCAACCCAATGACAGCACACGACAATCACTCAGTAGTTTTGTATAAGCGTTAAGGGAGTTCTGGTAGTCCACAGAGAGCTGCACTGCTAAACAAAGGTTGTACTTGTCCGGTGACTCTAATTATCCAGTGACTCCTTGGGAGAAAGCTGGGCAATCTATTCCTATGTAATCTACAGTTTCAGAATCCCAATCAGAGGGTCAGCTGAGTCAGTTCTGACTTGGTGGTAGTGACTGAGTGAGTGATTATACATGGACTGACAAAAGAATAAACAAATCTGTCTGGGAAGAAGTATAGCCCAGGTGCTCCTAAGAGGCAAGGATAGGCCATCCATACAGATGTATGCACACCTATGTTTACTGCTGCGTTATTTACAGATAGCAAAGAGACTGAAACGAATAAAATGCCCATCAACAAACAAATGGATAGGAAAACCATGGCATATCCACACAATGGAATACTATGCAGCACTGAAAAATAATGAACTCGTAAAACACTACACAACACAGGTGACTGTCTCCGTCTCAAAAGGACAAATACTGCATAACACCACTCTTATAAAGCAGGACTGACATAGGAGGTTGGGAGGAGAATAAAAAAAAGAGTGGATAGATAATGGACATTGTATTGGAATAGATGAGAGAAAGGACTGTTTAAAAGGAATGTGTGATTGTGTTGTTGTTATGTGCC